CAGATATACGAAAGACTTTCTTCACCATGAGAACCATTCAACCCTGGAATAGGTTGCTCAGAGAAGTGGTGCAGTCTCCCTCACTGGAATTATTCAAGACTTGGCTTGGCAGAGCCCTCAGTAACCTAATTTCCAGAATACATTATTCCAATGGTTTCCAGAGCCACCTTTCAGCCTGGACTCTTCTATGACTGTAGGGTTCTTCTTGTTACCTACGTGGTAAATTCTTTAGGACCTGAACCTTCTCTTAATTCATTAAAATTCACATAGGCTCCTCAAATCATCCCGTGTTTTTGTATCAGGAATCATGAAAGTGTTGACAGTGAAAGATCACAGCTGTGTATTAGAAAAGTAACATATTGTTTGGCTTACTCAGCACCCCCAGGTAGACATGAAGGAGCAAAAGCAGCTACATGCAGCTTCTTTTTTTTTTTTTTTTTTTTTTTTTCTTGTGACAATAACAGATGAAAAAAATTAGATTAAAAAAATAATAAATAAAAAGCATTTCTGTACCTGGATGTTTATTAGCTGCATTGCTGTAAGGATTTAGCTTGGATCACATTGGGCATAGCACAGGTGGGCAGAGGAATGTTTTATAATATCATTTTTTCCCCTAAGGTCTGAAATAATCTGTCTTTAAGGAGAGGAAACAACTATTACTTTCATTAAGCTGGTGAATTAATGTTCAGAGCTTTTATTATTATTATTTATTTATTTATTTATTTATTTTCACCCAGAAAGTGGTAGGTGTAAATTCTTAACTGGATGGAGTTGAAACCCACTTTACTTGGTCACCAAATTATTGGCTATGGTGGTTGGAGGGCACTCTCTTCCTTCTCTGAATCTGGCCCTCTCTAAAGAAAAAAGAGATATTCCAGGCTCTATTATAGAATGAGAAAGCCTGGAAGGAAATATGATTATCTAGGGAGTATCCAGGCACTCACAAGTTTTCAGTCCCTGTTTACATTAATGTTTCTGCTTTCCATATAAAAGGATTTGGGAGCAAAGCGTAAAATCTCCCCCCACCCAAGTGAACTCCCACGTTCCTGATAGTTTTCTCGCCCTGCGAATCTTGTATTCCTTCCTGTGTGGATCTGTGCCACGGCTCCAACAGGAAGGGAGGACACAGTAGTGTTTCGCCGAGGAGGCAGAACTCTGAGTCAAAGCTTGTAAATTAGATGAGTCCTATTATAATAAAGCATAAATTAACTTATATGTGAGACAGCAGCTTTTAAAGAGGGTGAGAGTTCTCTCTCCTTGTAATGAAAATGTTCCGGTTTCTTTAGGGATTAGTTACAGAGAAGTATATTCCAGCCCAGCCTACCCCTTTGGAAATACGGGTGCATGTTTCAGCTCCTTCAGGAGAGGGGAACATTATGCTGTCTCTTTCATTTTCAGGGTGAAGATACCTATCAACTCTCATATATAAAATATGGGCACCTCCTCCAAATACATTAAAAAGGAATGCTTACAGCTGCATTTTGTATGTGAGGTCTGCTTGCAACTTCATTATTCATTTTGGTCCTTCTGAAGCCTGAAATGTCTTTAGTCATTGTTGAGATTATGACAACATCTGACAGCGTCTTCTAGACTATGTCTAGATTATGAACAAATGTACACCTAAATGGTCCTCACCTCCTAGCAGTGCAGGATAGGGGTCTGACAATAGTATATTTTGATCCTTTTTTACATCTTCGTTTTCTTCCCACAGAAACCAGGGCTCAAAGGAGGATGAAGGACATTTGGGTCTCACCCAGAGTTGGTTTAGGTCAGAGTCTAGGACTGCACCTGAGCTTGGATTCTGGATTCCACTTTAGGATTTTTCTGATGAATCCTAAAGATGTAGGCTGTGGTGCATCTTTGTCCAGTTTCTGGACTATAGCTAGATTCAAGATGCCTTTGTTGATGATTCTAACTGCTCAGATCAGAGTACTGGACATAGAGAGAAGCATATCTGTAGGCACCTAGGGAGTTTCCAGAACATGAAAACTCCTAGGGTGTTTCAAGAACCTGAGTACCTACTGAAATCAGATGCTTCCCTGGGATGGGCCAGTGAATCTAGCTATGATTTAGCATGTTTTTCCTTCAAGAGTATGAAGAATATTAGAACAAAAGGGGTCATTGGTGTTGATATTTGAGATATTAAACTGAGTACTATATTTGAGAACTACAAAGTGTCATATGTATTTTTAAACTTGCAGCTACATTCTTTTAAAGTGATTCTGTAAAAATGACACATGAGGGATGCTATTTTTCTCCTTTTTCCAGTGTCTTGTAAAATTTTCAGGATGTGTTTGTTGAAGATGCTTTGTTTTTTGGTAGTAACTTTTTTTTTTTAATAGTAAGAAATGAAGGTGAAGATCAAAAATAGAGTTTTCTGTTTTCTATTGATAGTCTAGCACCTAGAAGCATGCAAGATTCTTTCCATATGCGGTGGTTCCACTCGAGTGGGCAGCCAAACTTCACCACAACTGCTCTCTCACTCCCCCTCCTCAAAGAGGAACGGGGAGAAAATATGTGAAAAGGGCTCAAAGGTTGAGATAAGGACAAGGAGATCATGCAGTAATTATTGTAGCGGGCAAAACAGACTCGGCATAGGGAGACAGTAAGATTTATTGCTTATTACTAACAAGCCAGAGAAGTGAGAAACAAAGGAAAGAAACCAAAAGCACCTTTCCCCCCCATCCACCCTCTTCCACCTCCTCCCCCTGAGCGGCGCAGGGGAACAGGGGAATGGGGGTTATGGTCAGTCTACAGCGCTTCTCTGCTGCTCCTTCTCGATCACTCTCGTCCTCTGTGCTGTGGGGTCCCACCCACGGGATGCAGTCCTTGACGAACTGATCCGGTGTGGGCTTCCCATAGGCAGCAGCTCTTCCAGAACTGCTCCAGATACGGGTCCATACCACGAGGTCCATCCCTCAGGAGTAAACTGCTCCAACCTAGGTCCCCCACGGGCAGCAGCTCCTGCCAGGTCACCTGCTCCTGCATGGTCTCCTCTCCACGGGCTACAGGTCCGGCCTGGGATCTGCTCCGGCAGGGGTCTTCCACAGGTGGCAGCCTCCGTCAGTGCAGGGCCACCCGCTCCACCGTGGTACTCCATGGGCTGCAGGGGGACAGCCTGCTTCACCATGGTCCTCACCACAGGCCGCAGGGGACTTCTGCTCCGGCGCCTGGAGCACCTCTCCCCCTCCTTCTGCACTGACCTTGGCACCTGCAAGGCTGTTCCTCACTCCTCTCACTCTCCCAGCTGCTGTGTGGCGCAGCGTTTTTTTCCCTGTCTTAAATATGCTCTCACAGAGGCACAAAACAACATCGCTTATTGGCTCGGCTCTGGTCAGCAGTGGGGCCCTTACCAAACATGGGGCAGCTTCTAGATCCTTCTCACAGAAACTACGCCTATAGCCCCCTGCTACCAAAACCTTGCCACGTAAACCCACTCCACCATGATTTCCTTTCTCAAGGTGCTTGCAAGATAAACTCACAACAAATGAAAAAGTAATTTTCTCCATCAGCATCTTAACTCCTGCTTGAAGCTTGTGTAGAACAAAGATCCACATTAACAATATCAGAAAGAAAGTGAAGCTAAATCCCAAATTCTGTCCAACTAGAATGATGATTACCAAAGTTGACAATTTACATTTTAGTAAATTGCAAATGCAGTCAGTTTTGAAGAGAATGTTCACAAAAAACAATTTCTTGTGAATCACAGTGTAAAATCATGCCCATTTCATTATAATCCTCAGTAAAACATTTCTCATTCAGTGAGAATAAAACAGTCAAGCACCACATTTCACATTATTCAAATTCTAGTTATCTGAGAACATGATTAATTCCCCCATCCAACTTTCTATTGCATCCATCAGTAATATTTCAGACGTGTACATTTATTGTTCCATTTCACCACAACTGTGCAAAAGAAGGATACCTTATTAATCTCATTTAACAGAGGGGAAACAGAAGTTTAAAGGGCTGTGTTCATACCATCTACGGTGATCTCAATTCAAGGTGAGAAGTAGTGATTTAAGCCCATCACTTTTCAGAGCTGGCAGGCCCTGTATGCCAATTTTGCCAGCAAAGGAAAGCTGAGACAATCTATTCGGTGTTCTAAATTTCACAGCAGTCTTATGAAATGCTGTGTTAAGAAGTTTGAATTCTCTTCAACAAAGTCAAATGAAAGTCTAGAACTTTGGTATCTAGCTTTGGACATTTAGGTGTGATTTCTTCAATAAATGTAACATTAAATATTTCATATGTTTAGACATGAATTCCAGTGTATTTTTGCTCAGTATTTTTGCACGTTAGACTGAAGGTAATAAGCTTTTCATCTAGAAACATGATCTACTGGCAGTCTGTGAGAAGTTTAATTTAAATGTCATATCAGCATTGCACAGGAATACCTAACAGATGTGAGATTGGAGGAGGAGGAGCAGTGGCAAAAAGACTGTAACATTAAAACCTATATCACAGTGCAGTCAGAAACAATGACTAATTAAGCAGTTCCTAACACTTAAGTGATTGATTTTATACTCAAAAACCATCTTCTTAAGGTATTATTCTGTGAGTAATTTCTTAGCTTAAATTTCTTAGCTGAGAGGCTAAGAACTAAAGCTCAATGGCCCCAGGAACACTATTGCTGCATCAACGTGAAGCACAGATTCAAACAGCAGAAGCCCTGCAAGCTTCTACACAAATGTCTGGAGCTAACAGAATGATGAATCACACTAGAAAGTTTTCTCTGTGAGGTAACACTGGCTAAGGAGAAGAATGAGATACATAGCCAATGGGTTTCATAGATCCTAATAGCACATGTATAGACAAATCTGTAGGCACTTCTAAGTAATTCCAAGGTCTTAAGAAAGCATTCTTTTCGTGGACACAGACAATTTATTTTTTCTCAAACTGCCTTGTTCTTTAAAATGTAGGTTAGGTGTTTAGGTGAGTTTTCTCAGAATGAAGTTATCTCCCTGACAGAAAGGTCTTTTTTTTTTTTTTTTTTTTTTTTTTTTCCTGTCTATAAAGCATAGGAGCGGAAATGTGGCCAAGATTTAAAATTCAAAATCATGCATGGCTTTTTCTGAGAGCTAATGAAATGCACTAGTTGAAGTATAAAGAAAAGCAACATGGAAAATTTTAGCTCACATTTGGCAAAACTTTAAGTAAACATGCTTCTAAAAATCGTGTTATTTAATCTCAACAATAGCACAATCAGCCTTATATTAATTAAAATGCAAAAATGTAGTTTTTTTTTTTTTTTAAGGTACTATGCATCTAATTCTTCTGAATTACTAGAATCTATTTTGTAGAAAATACTGGCTTTCCACAGAAACCTGATTGGCAGTCTATGTTCAGTTTGTAGCACCAGAAAAGTACCTTTTTGTCAATCAGTCCTTTTCCTGTGATTTTCTAAATAACTTTTGAACCCATTAGTAAATTTTAAGGTTTCCTACAGGTGTAGAAGTCTTAAGGATACCAAGTGTTTTCCAAATATTTGCTGCAGAACAGAGAAAAAGCATTGTGGTAGAGGTCTACAAGTTTGTAAGGCACACAGAGAAATAATTATTTATTATTTCCAACAACAACAAAAAAAAATCCTGAGTGATATGAAATGAAAATGTCAGATGGTAAGGTTAAGGCAATAAAAATGAGATATTTTTCATGGAACCACTGCTGCTACAGTGACATATGATAGAGGAAAAATTCTTCTTGGTTTGCTGTGAGTCCTATGTGCACACCAGAAATAAATTTATCTGATAGATTATAAAAATTAATCCATATAGTGGGTAACAAAAAGCTCTCAATTTAAACAATTCCTTTATTTATTTTACAGATTTACTTACACAATTATCTTTAGTGATTCAATCTTATATTTACTAATATCATCCTTATTTTTACTAATCCAATCTTATCCAGTTCCTTTAATTACGGTAGGACTTCTGCATTTGAGACTTTTACAAAACTTATGTATTGGTATTTATTTTTTCTTGGTAGTGATGTATCTAGTTGTCTGAATGCGATTTTCTTAGAACACTGACATCAATCCGTGACAAAAAAGAAAATAGAATTTCTTATAATGAGGGACATGGCCAATAGTAACAGAAACTTGATACTGATACTACATCTACACTAACCTCCATCCTCCATTCATTCACTTTTCTGCTGGTGTTATGAAAGCAAAAAATCCTGGTGAAGATCTCTCTTCTGACCTAATAAGCATCACTAATGATTATTAGATTTGTAAGATTGCTCAAACAACCTAAAACACCATAAGACAATGATTTCTCTGGTCTGCTGCTTTTTTTTTTTTTTTTTTTTAGTTAGTTGGAAAATTCCCAAGACTCCTGAAATGCTTGTGGTCAGTTTGGCATTTCCTTCCAATTGGTGTGTTTTAGATTACCTGTATAACCTATATGACAAGCGCCTTTCTGAATTACAGTAGACATCTATGTAATGTGGTATTACAGGAATTTTGACACACAAACTGATAATGAAAATATAATGTATACTGTATTGGAAAAATTTAAGAATCAGCATGGAGCTTTTCAGAGAGTAGTATCTATTCAGTCTTCCTGTCTGCTTAAATCCATACCTTTCCTTCCAGATTAAAGTACCACCAATCAACTAATTTAGTTGAATGCTCAGTTAGGAATGAGAACTTCTGAGGAGATTCTCATGTGTTACGTGCATCCAATTAACTTTATTAAAGAAGAAATTACACTATCTTTTTCAACAGGAATGATGTTCTCCAACTCCTCATTGGAGTTTTCTATTTATAGTCATATTGGCTCCTTAAGAAGGCAAAAATAATGTGTTTTATTAGTATTACATTTTTATTAGTATTATAGATTTTAAAGTGAATATATGCAGTTAGTTGCTTTCTAGCTGGAAATCCTTAAATCTCAAGGGCTCCTCCCTTGAAATATATTTTTTAATGCAAGAATTCCTCAGTCTGAGTCACCATGAAGTTCAAACAGAGAATACTGAAGGCACGATAGGGATTGAGTGACTACTGAATTTTTGAAGTCACTGTATAAAGTACTATTTACATGCTATAAGCTAAACAGACGTTGGATAAAACAAATTGAATATGGGCTATTGTATGAAAAATAAGCATCATCATAACTCCTGCCTCCTTTGGAAGATATATCTCTTTTTGTGTTTGCTGTTAAAAAATAAAATAAAAAGAATATGGTCATCCGTTACCTCAAAGTCTAGTTATGAGCAAAAGAAAATACACCTTATATTATCTGAAATCATTCATTATAGTCTAAATGATACCTTAACAGTCTAATCACATAAGTTGCTAATAAATCCAGAATTAAGTATTACAGAAGGGGAAAAAAGAAAATTAGGCATAATTTTACAGATAAAATCTCAAAAATAACACTGTTACATTATTATCCACATAATGCATAACATCTATCCCTTTCCTTTGATGTTGCGCTGTTCATTCAAGTCCTAAGGTCTTCAGCTTGAGTCCAGAAGGGCAGGTTACAGCAAGTCATCTGTTTTCCAAGTCATTTGCCAAAAAAAACAAAAAAGTGATGTTTATGTTGATGGCTTTTATTCCTCCTTACTCTAGAGTCCTAGAGTCAATGTGGGGTAGTTCTGATACATTTACTAACACACCTTTATTCCTTGCTCTTCCTTTACTGGTCCACAACTCCATGTTGAATGCAAATCTGTTGTATATATAATATACATTATACATATAATACACATATACATATATATGATGGACATTTGGTACTTGTTCTTTATTCTCTTTTTACTGCTAAAATTGTTTTTATCCAGGACCGTTGGTGAGTTGGTTATAGCCCTGGGACCTCCAGTCTGGCCCTGTGGCCCCTTATCAACTCATGCAGCTTTTTTTATATGGCATCTGTGTTAATGCTTCTGAGGTGTCTGCTATCACACCACACCTGTATTCATGTATATCATTACTTTAGAGTCGTAAAAGTTTCATTCAACACAAAAGGTTAATTATTATTACTATCTATTTACATAAAAATACATAAAATATAGAAAACAGTATTGTTAAAAAAAAAAAAAAAAAAAAAAAAAAAAGGTTATACCATACAGAGATCAGCAAAAATAAAATGAATCAGACATAGGCTATTGGTCATTAGAAAAACTGCTGTTACAGCATACAAGGAAAAACAAAGCAAAACAAAGCTTCTGTCTGGACATGAAGCCTAGTGAAAGTGAAGTTTAATAGCAAAATGAACTCTATAAGTAAATCTTAAAAATGATATATAAAAAGCATGGTAAATGATTCCGGAGGATTTTCAGAAAGGTTTTTCTAAATATATATTTACATTTCTCTGACTTTTAAGAATTTCTAGTTCTTCTCTCTTTCTTCTGTCTGCCCTGCTTTTCTTTTGTTCCTTGTGTGCTGACTTTGTTCTAACTTGACTTTTAAATTAACAGTTGTTCCAAGCTGGGTTCTTGGGACATTTGGCGAAGAGATTGCACTTTGATCCCTCCCCTTATAACTTGATGCATTGTTTCTACAAAGTAGAGTGCACATTTATGATATACTTCAGTGCACACAACAGCATAAATTTTGTTTAAATTCTATTATTTTACTCATTTTTATGTCTGTAAAATTCTTAAGATTTTTTTTTTTTCTGTGGAAAACAGAAATCAAAGCAATGATAAAGTCATTTTTGATAGCGTAAACTTTGGAAATAAAGTCATAAACACCATTTTATAACTTGGCTGTTTTAACACATTAATTCACATGGGATTTCATTTGGATACCATGTAGTCAAAATAGTTTTAATTAAAATGCAAGCTGGTTATAGGTTTGTTTTATCTATTGAGTAGCTGGCTATCCTAAATTATGTTTTGTAGTTCAAATAAACTCTAGTGACTTGCCCAAGAAATTCTGAGTACCTCTTTTAAGGCTAAAATTGTAGCAAAACGCCTGAAATACTCTTTGATGTAAGTGATTTTTCAAGCAGTGACAGGTCAAAGTGACAAAAGGGGACTTCTGAGAAGTTAACGAGTCTTTTCCCATTCTGGTCTCATTTACAGTCTGCCTGAAATTCTAGGAATCTTACCTGTTCAGCTACTGCTTTTTCTGTAAAAAAGCCCCCATGGCTATAATCAGCATGGGTTTTATAAATCCCTTTCATAATGAGGTGTGTTTTGAAGTAGCAAAAATTTCTGTTATGAACTTAATGAACTTCCCAAACCCATAGAGAAAAGACAGCAAACAGGGAAGGAGCCAACACTTTTGACCCCATTCAATTTCTTAAAATTGATATTCCACACAAATTTTATAGGGAAATATCCTTTTTGGGGAAATATCCTTACGGGGAAATAGCCTTTCTACTCATTTAATAAATCTTGCTGAAAATAGGAAGCTGTGATTTCTGTCTGTACAGTCTTTCCCCTACAGTTTTCATTGCCCTAACTTGTACCTGTTTGTAGACCTGTATGGGGTGAGGAATAATGGTAGTTTCACAGCTCCTGGGAACATTGAATTTTGATTTTTATGAAAGGACTGTTTTACTTCATTGAATGTTTTCTTTCTGTTGTGTGAAACACAGCAAAACAGGAGCACCTTTAATATCATCAGAGGGCTTGCACACAGATCTAGATAACATTTTTTTTTCACTCTGAGTGGCTTTTATAATGGGCCTGATATGGTAGTTCAGTTAGGTCGTCATTTATGTGGAAATACTAGGTCAATACAGAAAACACCAGTAAAGTTGCTATGAACACTTCAGTTTGTATATATGGTGGTCTGTTTTGTACTTTATCTTGTGTAAAAGGATAGTGTTCAAAATTCCTTGTGGTCTTCCCCCTTTTGTGACCTTCAAAGAAAGTCAAAACCCTTCTTCTTTGTTGGTATTTCCCTCTAGCACAAACACAAATATTCTTTCCCGAAATATTTACTTCTAAATATCTGAGAGGAGCAGACTTTTTCTTTCATTTCTAATATTTTTTTTTACGGAGAATACTGTCAGGAAGGAGCAACTCTTCATTCACTTTCATTTCACACGTGACTTTCATTCACAAAGCAGAAATTTTAGCCTCTGTCTCTACTAAATTTTCAGGCAAGTAGATGTTCATTCTTTGTCTAAGTCCCCTTTACACAGGTTTTTGCAAATGAAATCAGCTTATCTGTTGGTGTTAAGGCTGCAGAATAGATTAAATTCTTCATGGTGTGTGTAAGTCTTCTGTAATACATATTGGAATTCGTGTTTATGTGTTGTATGTATTACTCTCTGACTTCATAACTGACTGAAATATGTGGTGGTTTTTAAAGGGAAGGAAAAATATAAACTTTTTTTCTATTAAATTAAGGAAATATGTGTTCTTTATGTAGACATAGTAACACCAAATCGTAATTTGTACAGAGTTACACTTTACAATTTATTTTTGGAGTAATTTTCATGCATGATGCATTTGTCTCATTCTGTTACCTTTGATATTATCACTAAAAGTGTCACACACAAGGTTAGTACAAGAAACTTCTGAAAACTATATCTTTACAGTTTAAGTTTTAATACAGGAGCCTTTCATAAAAACTCTTTATATTTATTATGTGTATAAGGAGGAACTTATGACGAAAAGAGTTCTTAAAATTTTCCAAAATGCTGCACAGAATTTTTATAACACTGGAAAATGTTCTATTTTAGAAAGTCCTGAGAGACAAGTATTGCAGTGTTCTTAATTTAGTTTTATAACACCTGCCCTTTGAAAATTTTTAAAGTAAAACAGATGTCCCCTAGCTTATCAGCATGGAACAGGGAATTCTAAGAAATTATGTATCTTTTCACATTCTTGTAGGCACTGCAATTTTCAAATTTATATTCAAAGAAATTGCATATATCACTTGGACATTCTAATTTGCTAAAACTTTTCAGATAATACTGAAACATCTTTTATGAGCACATAGTTCTCATTTTGTACAAAGCAATGAGTCATTTTAGTATTGCAATTGTAAACAAGAAGAAATTGTTCTAAGAGCACACATGCCTTCCTGCTACTGTTCATTTTGACACTTATGTAGGACAGGGTGGAGCAGCCACAGAATTTTCATGGTCAAGTCTTTTCAATTGCTGGAATTCTGTCTTATTTTACATGATTTTTAAGCCAAAATTTACACATGTAAAATAAACTATGTTTTACAAAAATATTCTCCATAAAGCTTCCCACCCCTATGCCCCAAAATCTTTTGTTCATCTTTTATACTTCTTTTGTTTAAAGCAATCAAGACTGACCATAGGACAGAAAGTATATCTGAGTATTCACTTGTTGATTTAAGGAATAATTAATACAGGTTTATTTCTATGCTGTCAAAATTTCTGCAGTTTGCCTTAGATTTTTTTTTGTTGTTATTATTTCTGTTAACAGGCAAAATAATAATATTAAGGGCCAGATCCAGTGAAGTTTAGCATCATGACATTTATTTTTTTAGGCACTTTAACCCATGGATTGGACTTCACAAATGTTACACTCAACAGGGTGTTGAAGTGAGGTATTTGTAGAGGTAGCATACTAAGAGGGTATCTAGGCTGATAGCAAACTTGAGGTGAGGGGCAATCACAAATCCCATTCCTTAGGCTATTTCCTCCTGTCTGCAGTGTTACATCCACTTACACAGGATGCAGGTGCAGATCAACTCCTTTTCCTGGGCCTCCTGGAGGTAGGCTGGATTTTCATTGGTTGTAGTTACTTTGTGAGTAGGGTCAAGTGTTAGTGAGAATAATGACACAATGTTAGCCAAGCCTTAGATATATAGGTATAGGTTATATAGATATACCTGAGGTTGTCTTCAGGCTTTAGGCAAATAAAGTTCAGAATTTAGTCATTCTCCATTTGAAGTCAAGAGCAAGGTACCCATTGCCTCCATATGTGCAGAAACGACCCTCAGGGAAATAACACGTGGCCCAAGGAATTCTAGCACAATGCATACAGAACTGTGATAGTGCCTGGAAAATGGTAAGAAATATAATGCAAGCATTTCTTACTATAAGTCTAGTTTTTGGTGTAGCTGATTTAGTCAAGACCAGTTACATAAACATGTATTCCAACATCTCCCTATCCAGAAATCCAGACAAGCGATCAATCATTTCAGGGGCCTTAGCTTTGGCTCTCTTATTGCCTATGGCATGAAAAGGGATGGACATTCCTGTGTGCAGTGTTACTTGTGAACCACTGGTTTGGTAATAAGAGCAGATTTGTTCTTTAATTAGCCTTTGTTTCTCTAGTTTCCATGGTCCTTTGAAGCTCTGATGAGTAATCTGATGCATACTTGTGATCTTGACCAAAGTCATGTAGAAAATAACCAGTTGAGCTTTGTATAAAATTCATTAGGCTGACTCTTAACTCCCTTGCTCAAACTCTACTCTCTCTTATAAGCTTTGAAATTCTTATCTGAGAAGACACTTATGGAATTGTGTCTGAGACTTATGCTAAGGCATCAAACAGTAAATACAGTTTCTATCATGGAAATAGTTGCTGCATAATGGTGATGCACTGTATGCGTCAACACATGCAGCTCCATGCTTACAGAATTTGTAATCCATGAAGAGATATTTTCTATTGCTGTCCTACCATTGCTGATGATCTGGAAAAAATGAAGTCAAAGAAGAAGTAGATTAGCATGTTTAGATACTCTTTTTTGGATTTTGTTCCCAGCCCAGTCCCCACAGTATTAATAAATGTTAATCTGAGCAAAGTTTTACATTGGCAGATGGCCAAAATGGAGGATTAATACTGCTTGCTCAACAGGTCTTACTTAGAATTAGTTTTATCATGTAGTAATTGGATAAAGCATATTTTTGATAGACTGAAGAAAGTTAACTTTTAGCACTTTAATTATGTAAAAAAATAAATCCTAACAGCTGCACTTAATAGTTTGTTAGCTAATGGTTAGTTCAGCAATTTTATTTCTGGTTGTTATATCTCTATATATCTATATAAAGAAAGGACTTTCAGGTGTTTTTCTCTATTGACTTAGATAATACGAGAAATTAAATGTAAGTGTGGATTAAGGGAAAAGCAGCAAAACCTGCAAAGACTTTTAATGGGGCTGTGGAGTCTGCCCACATGGTTCTGTTCCAGCTTCTGCCTAGTACCTAGGATCCCATGTGGGTTTCCTCCTCAGGAATAATACATACTGTCACACTGTAGGGTACTGCATTTCAAGTACTGACTTTATTGACTACTTTGAGGTAGGATATTTGGTAGCAAAAGCAAAGCTAAGATTCTAATGTACAAATTACTATTTTTATATAATCTTTATGTAGCATGAAATTGTTTGTAGCATTTATACAGTGAGGATAGTACAAGCTTCGTGCAAGCAAAGGTTGGATTAAATGTGTTCCTCACCTTACTGTCAGACACACAGCAGGAGAATTGATACTAAAAAAGAACATTCAATTTATTTACCTGGAAAGATGACATCATAACTTTTGATTGCTGCCTCCCTTTGAGGTGAATGGCATCCCAGTAACAGCTCAAAAGTGGTATAATGCTATTCCAGTTAGGAGGAGAAACCAGTGGTGCAGTCAATACTGTTAAAACAAGGTTGAAATACAGTAATAATTTTTGTTTCCTTCACAAACAGCCTCAGATCAGAGGAAAACATAATGAACTGCTCAAAACACTATAGTCTTTTCAATCATTCTGAGCCACAAAAAACTCTTCTCATCTTTTTTTCTGGCACCTCTCAAGGTATTTGTTCTGAGGCTACCTGGCTGTTTGTGCTTTCAAGGCATTCTGTTTTGCCAGATGATTAAGCCTTTATCTGTTTAAACGTAGTTATGTTTGTACTGAAGGCTTTGCTTCTTTTGGCTATCTGGTTCCAAAAAGGGATTTTGCTTTCTCTGTGCTTATTTCGAAGGATATATGCTGAACATAATCCCACTCCCAGTTTCAGTTAACTTTCCCTGCTCACAATTGCATGAAAGAAGAACAGGTGAAAGGTTTTGAATATCTTCTAAAAACTGAGTGGAACTCAGTTTTGTTTGTTTGTGTTATAGGGATGATCCAGGCAGTCTTTGATGGAGTAGGACAAGAAGTCAGTCTGCTTCCACAGGTAAATGTATACTGAGTTTGTAGGAAGACAATCTGTCTTTGCTAGGTGAACTGCAAGAGTAAGTAGTCCTTTTTCTTTATGTGCATCCTACTAGCATTTACCAGGAAAGGTCTGTTATTTTATTAAAATGTTTTCCCAAAATATATTTTCCAGGTATACAAAAACACATTAACACATTCTTACTTTCTTTCTTGCTTTCTCTCTCTCTCTCTCTTTTTTTTTGTGGGCAAAAACATCTGATATCACAGGAGTCCTTACAAAATAGATCTAGACACTTGATATTAAATTTATATTTTTGAACTATTCTGTTTCCTTTGAGGAGATACTGGATCACGTGAGGCATTGCACTGAAGAAAATGGTGAGAGTTCTACCTGATACAAAGAGTGTGGTGAGCCTTTCACATTTCCACACAATGTTTCTAGAGCCTTTCATCTTTAGCCAAAGTTTGAAAGTTCTACTCACATCTCTCTTAAAAATCCTGGGAGGAGAGTTGGGCACAATTCCAGCATCCCTTCTAATCATACTTCAATGTAATCTCTAGTAACATCAAAGCAGTTGGAGGATGATGACAGAAAAAAAAAAAAGAAAAAAGAGTCAGCTAAAGTTCAGTCTCTGAATAGACTGCTTACCTTTAGATTTGTGTGTGAGGAGTAAGGGGGTGGTAGTGTTAAACTACTTACTTAAAAAAGTTAGCTTTTCCTGAAATTAAGTCTGTACATGTCAGGATAATTAACTTTTTGCCATTAAGGTGAGGGGAAGCAGTTCATGTAGGAATTCAGGCTCGTGATTTTTGTCCTTTAAATAACAGACACCAGGCACTTTTTGACAAATTAAATTTACATGTGATAAATTATTTGAATTGCATCCCTTTTTATAAAACTTCCCTGCTTCTGTCTGAAGCCAAGTACAGATCGCATATACTTAACTGATTTGCAGAACTAGAAAGTAACTGATACTGGCCTAAGATTTTGAAAACCATACACAAAATATTTACTATTAGAGCATGCATTATCCCTTGCATAAAAGCATGCAATGTAAGTTCCTTTCAAGAAGCAGCCATTGAATGCTGAAAAATACCTTAAAGATACCTTCTTCCTGAATTTTTACTATATTAGACCTTCTTCCCAATTTTTACTATTCACATTAAATCATGGTGAATTCAATTCTGAAATTCTGCTTATTTTTGCAGAACACTTGTTAACACAGTTTTCACTCAGAAACTCTCTGTTAGAACTCTCCTGTAAAAATATTTTCTGCTGATAATTTCTTGAGTTTTTGCCAATTTCTTTGAAGGAACCTACCTCTTCACACATCAGTAATGACTGCTTAGCCCAACAAAGAGCTTCCTAGCTTGGACTTTTCTCGTCAGCTGTCTCTTTCTCATCAGATGTTCTTCCTCCACTGAGGTATTCTGACCAATATCATGGTTAGTGTTCTCAGACATCTGATTACTTAAAGAAATGTTATTTATCACAGGAAAGGGATCAGGTTCAAAGGAAAGATATGTGAGGTGTCTTACTGTTGTGTTTTCTTCCCACTGCGATACTTGCCAAATTATGATCCTCCTGGTGATTGTTAAACTTGTTGCTCTTTTCTGTGTACAAATCTCAGACAGTGGAAAATATCAGGAAAATCTGAGTAAGAATTAGTCTGGATGCACCAAGAATGACATAGTTAGTTCTGTAAAACCCTATTACTTAATCAATTTGCAGAAATCTACACTTTTTCAGTGCAGCAGTTTAGTTAGTAATTTCTGGAATAATTTGCTGAAAAATTGTGTCTGAGCACTTTCACTAACTTTTTCTTTCTCATGGTATCTGTGACTGAAAAAAAAAAAAAAAACAACAAACCAACACTAAAATTTCCTGTGTATTGTCTACAGATTCCTTTGAATGTACCCAAATAATAACTATGTAGGAATAAACAAGTTTTACTTGTAGATGTGAACTGAACACAGTATGTTTTTTTTCCTTCTAATTGCTTCCTAAAGCCATTCTTTTCTTCTAATAGTTGACTTTGTAATTTGGTTTCCCTAAAAGTGCAGTAATGATCTGTTCATGTCAATTAACATAGCTGTAATGGGTTAAGACCAAATAGAATTTAGCTTAGCCCCAGTAAGGGATCCTGGAACTTCTAACAAATCAAATAGACTTATACCTTGTCTGGGGTGGCTCAGAAGTGCTGTAAGCTTTTCACAGGGTACAGGTAGCAGTAAAATGATCTGGGTTAAAAATCAAAATGTGTAGTTCAAGGACATACTCGAGGCATAACTCCCATTTCTAGCATTAGGAAAATACAGTTTGCTGTAGTTTGCTATAGTTTGGTATACACACTTCCCAGGTGTCTTTCCTTCCAGCAAATGTACAGGTCTCAGTAGTAATACAGAACTGCTGTAATTCTTCCAATGGAAAAGGGCAATGATATATGTACATAAAATAAAATTTTCAAATTTTATTCATATATTAATCAAAGACTGAGGTAAATTATGGCATTTCTGTTTCAGGGCCAATGAATAAATCATGTAGATCTTAATTACAAATCCAATTACAGATGATAAAGCAAGTATTGGGAACAGGCTGTCTTTATTTTCTTGTTTCTGTTATTGGAGGGCAGCAAGCTGTCACTCCACCTCTCACATTTCTGATCCCATAAACAAGTCCAACTCAAGGTGAGTGAAGACAATATTACTGTCATTTCTGTTCAGACCATGAGGTTTTGAATCATAGATGGGGAAACCCAAAGCACAACACAGTACAAGAGAGAATCATTGTAATGATTTTCATTAGTTTTTAGCTTTATTTGTTTAAGCCAGTGTGACCTGATTTTCTTCAGCTCTAATTTTCATAACCTTCGAGTCTCCAGTGACAATGTATACATTCAAGAGTCATCTAGTAAAAAGTTGAGAATAGAGTACAAGCAAATCTAATGTATACTGAATAGGAAACACACAGTTGTGAAATGAAGTCTGTCTGATCAAGCCTTCTCATATCCAGAAACAGTGCCTATCCTATAAACATGCTATCTCTACCTCATTTAATGATAATGATGACATACAGGAGTATGAGTTCTATATAACTCAGCTTGAGTTATTTAGAAATTTAACTTGATATACTTGACATTCTCAGGCTCTAAAAAGAGCCATTATCCTTATTTTGATTCCCACTGTCAGGCTGTAGATTGGTAGGCTGACAAGAAAGGTCACATACAAGAAATGATGTTCTCCCATAACTGTGTTCTTTGTTACAAATCTTGTTGCCTATCTGAGCCTCATTTCCACCTGCTCTGTTCTGTCATATGCTTTACACACCAGTAGATAAAACAAACAAAAATAAAAACAAAACAAAACAAACAAAACAAAACAAAACAAAACAAACAAACAAAAGCCCTCTTCTGAACCTGAGTTTCCTTGCTTCTGTTGCCTGGCTGAGTCTGGAATTCCACTAGCATTATGTAGGAGAGTTAAACTAAAACTTAACTGAAAAAAAAAAGAAAAACTAAATACATAATTAGCGTCTAAAACTGCCAGAATTTATCATGAACACCAATAATAGGATAATTACAAAAATAGGATAGCTACAAAAGAGAGTTTAAGAGAAAATATGGAAAAATAAAAATAAAATAAATACAGAGGTCTATAAATCTACATGTAATTCCTGTGGTCTAAAAGGATGTGCATTTTTGGCAGTACTAAATATTTTATATTTATTTCATTATAATATTTAACAAATTTTTCTAAAAATTGTAGATTTTTCCCCTCCCTAGCTATTGTTAGAGAGAAGATACTGCCCTGCATACTGGGATTGGACTAGATGATCTTTCAAGGTCCCTTCCAATTCCTAACATTCTGTGATTCTGTGATTCTGTGCATACATGTACATTATTCGTCTAACAATTTATGGCTGTTCATATATTGATGCATATAAGCACTGTTTACATATTTTAGGGAATTGTAGAAATTACAAAATGGCTTAAAATTGTCTTTACAATTTATTCATACTTTCATTTTTAAGCTTGTTAAGGTGGTGTTACCCTGCGTAAAGAAGGTTTGCAAGAGATAGCAATGCTTCTGTTCTGTGTATTGTGATTTGAAATAATTTCAGCAAGCTTTGATTACTTTTCAGTGGTACTGTATTGAAGGTAGAGCCAACCTGTGATAATTGGTATCTTACAGTGTGTATCTCATAATGGCTGCAAGTATATGAGTTAAATCAAAACAATCATATTTAGTTCTTATTTAAACTATTGATTAAACTATTTGATTTAACTCCAAACCAGTGAATTTCTGTGTTTTTCTTCTAACAGTCCAATCAATAAACATGACTGTAAATTACAGTTAGTGTTATAAGTGTTCAGACTTTGGCAGCGTCACAGTTTGAAATAGATATTCATGACATAGCAAGGCAATTTAGTACTTTTGCAAATAGCTTTTCCATGTAATTGACCACAGTGAAACCAAGGTCTTCAGTGTTCCTTTAAGGAAACATTCCTTTACATTTCAAACATACAAAAAAGACAACGGATAGACTCTGAACCTACAGCTTCCATTGCTTGAAATCAATGTGCTTCAAGCATATTAGGAAAAGCATATTAGAAGTTTGTCATTGATGGATTCTGGAGCCTAGGTTGTCCCAGTTTTACTTGTTGTTTTATAATAAGGCTTAGTGTGTCTATATGAACTGTAGTTTGAAGTAAACCTTGAAATTAAAGAAACCCATCAAGAGGACTAAAATAAAAAATGAGTGTAATAATATAAGTATAAATATGTAGTAGATTTTCATAACCCTCACTCATATGAGAGTGAAAGAAATCAGAAAAGATTTCTGAGAAAAAGATTGATAAATTTGTTCAATCTGCCTAGTTAAAAAAATTCTGGATCCTCTTGAATGTCTGACACACTCTTTTGAATGTGAGCTCACTTGTGTGTCCCAAGATTACCTTCTGTAGAGGGAAATTATTAAGTAATCCTATAGATTTCACAGCTTGCGTAAACTTTTGAGGTTCACTTGGACTCAAAAGATCCCAATTTGGTGAACTGTATGCTTTTGCTAGTCATTCCACTTCAGTGAAGAAAGCTTTGGCAATTATACTTTGGGCAATAATGGTTGTGAGAATAAAAATCATTATAGCAAACAGCAATTTCATTTCATTACTTTCAATACTTAGAGATACACTGAGTTCAAAAATCCTGTCCTGACACGAGAAGATACTGTGAAAGTTTGGAAATTCCTTAATTGAATTCACAGTTGGTTACTTTGAAAGTATAAATTATATTTTTTCCTACTAGTTCTATCTGAAACAATGAGGAAGAAAGTTTGACTCCTGAAAGCTGAACTTATCCCTCACCAGATGTAAATCATAAACTAAAATTTCTTAGTTATTTTCCTCCTTCATATACAATTAGATGATCATACTAGCTTGTTCCAGATCTTGTTGACCTGGACTTTCTAGGACATAGCATGCTCTTATTCACTCTCGTGGGTAAAACGTAATGCTTGATAAGGCAGCATGCATGAAGATATGGATTTATGAGAATTTTTTTCATGTTAGGCAGCTGAAGCAAAACAAACTCTGAGCCAATCTGGAGAGTTTTCAAGCTCAACCAACATAACTGCCCATTATCCTCAAAATCACTATTCAGAAAAGTGGCTTTGTGGCTTGGACAACAACATATTTTAATTCTGTTAGGAAGCTTTGAGTGTGAAAGCCAATTTATGGCTTTTGCTCTATATGTTTAGCTGCTAGGCATCTCTCCAACCGTTTAATTCCTGAAGCACCCTTCTGTCTGCTTCAGGTGAGTAGCTCTAATGCCTTGGTTGTCACAGGATGCGTACAGTTCCAGCAAGCAACAAAGAATTCCAGTTGCCAGACACTCATTTTTTTGCCTTTGAATAGCGAGTGAAACACATCTCCTATTAAAGAACCTTCTGTTCATTCCTCCCACCACAGCGATGTGTTGTTGAATCAACTGAAACGGTGACATCACTTGGTGAGTTAAAGGTACTCAGCACCAAACCATTCAGGAAATGCTCGGCCTATTCCAGAATGAGGCCCCTAATTACAAACTTATGTGCAGTATCCTGGTTCTCTTCTGCTACTGATCTCCCATTTCAGTGGCAAATATTTTTTTTTCTTTTTCTTTTTTTTTCGTTTTTCTTTTTTTCCTCAGTAATCTGTCTCTGAGACTTTAAATATGCTTTGAGAATGATTAATATTCTACCAGAACATGGGCCAGGGTTCCACAGTTGAATTTGAGGCACAATTTGTGTTAAGCGGGTGTGGCAGAAACTATTACTGTCTGTATTCTAAACTGCTGTTATTGTCTCTATCAATTAAGATCAATAGATTAAAAATCATTTTAATGCTATCCTATAGAGTAATAGGTCTCATAGTCTAGAGAGCTGCAACTGGCTTATTGGGAATTACTATGCAGGTAGTAAGCTTTTTGTTAGTTAGACAAGTTGGTCTTGATTAAGATTCTGGATAAAATTGTCAAATTGGTGGTACTTTTCCAAGACAGTTTCTAAGATGTGTATAAGACTACACAAATTGGCTTGTAAATGTACTTCTAGAATATCTACTTAGTAACACTATGTTATTGAATAATATGAATGTTAAAGTGACTAATATATTATTATTTTGCTATAGAAAGGTAGAAGGTTGGCCAACTGTTATTATATTATTTTCAACTTCACAAACACGTTTCCCTAGGAGCAGCCAACAACAGGACTGTGACTTATGCATTACAACCCCATGCAATGCTAAAGGCTTGGGGCAGAGTGACTGGAAAGCTGTGCAGAGGAAAAGGATCTGGGGGTGCTGATTGACGCTCACCTGAACATGAGCCGGCAGTGTGTGCAGGTGGCCAAGAAGGCCAATGGCATCCTGGCTTGTATCAGGAATAGTGTAACCAGCAGGATGAAGGGAGGTGATTGTCCCCTTGTACTCTGCTC